CATAACACCACAGTTTCATTGTACAAACCATGTAAATTGTTGGCACTCACTTACCTGCAGTCAATCTGCAGATTGTAATCAGAAGCCATTAAGTCTCTCCCCAAGTGCTAGCAAAAATATAACCTAAATAACCTCATTACTGTCAGTCAGTGAAACCCTCCTAAGCACCTAAATAATTTTCAGGTGAGACTTCATTCTGATAGGTTTCACATACAGGGTTTTGAGACTTTTTATTCCTTTTTGACCACACAGGAAAAAAAGTTTATTAATCAGCAGAGTATTCATTAAATTATCTCTGAAAACTTCCATTAAGAACAGCAGCACTGAAGAGAAGGCAAGATTTGACCAGACTATTTCTCATGGCTAAAGATACTTAAAAGAAAAACAGTGCACTAGTAGGAAACACAGTATTTTATATATATACATAAGAGCTGATAGATACAGAACCTACCACAAAATTTCCAGAAGTCATTTATTAGCATAAAAATACTTCTTGCCGTATTAACGGCCAGAAGTACTGAATTTAAACAAACAAAAAAACCAGACAAACAAACAAAAAAAATCAAACAAACAAAGCAAACACAAAACAAACAAACAACAATCCCACCCTTTTAGGTAATGAAATGATATAAACTGCAAAAGTTCCGTTTCATTTGCCAACTTTTCAGGTTTTTCTCTCAACCTCTGACCTGCAAGGGAGACAAAGCTGATGTATCAGGAAAACGAAGCTTCTTGCTTGGAGAGAAGTCTGGTTAAAATATGTAACATCAGTGCTGCGGGACCTTAGATCTATAAATACAAAACAAATACACTCTAAGTAGTGTTTCAAAGAGACTCGTTTGTGTACTTCTGCTTTTTAAATTGATTTTTATAGGAATTCGATACTTGGGACAAAAGAGATCAAAAAGAAAGAGCCAATTGAGCCGAGACACAGCAGCTTTGTGCAAGTGCGCTAGTGCCCCCTCCTGGGGCGGCTCAGACCTGCTCGCTCCCGTGTTTCCACCACCCGGCAGACCCCGAAGGAGTTCCACCTCTCAGGGCCATCAGGAATGTTTGGGAATCTCGAGATTTAAAACAAACAAACAAACAGAAAGTAAACCACGTGCCGCATAAACACAACAAGTTACTGATCATTATATGTACTATGACAATTCATCACCTGAAATCCTTAAATGGGACAGCACTTTATTCCCTCCTGCATCACCTGATGCAGAACCCAAAAGCGATTTTCATCATGAACAGCAGAGCACACCACTGGACAGCAGAATATTCAGAAAGCTAAGATAAAAAGTCAAACAGCAACTTTCACATTCAGACACACCTGAAAGCTTTGACAACTCACAATGCAAAGTGCGAGCATACTAAGTTCCATAGGCTCTTACTGCAATTGCTTTGATTTCAGTGGCACTAGAACAAGGGTAAATTTTACAGTTAGATAAAATCCTGCTTTTGATTACCCTGCGCAAGCCCAGGGTAATTCAAGGGCCCAAGTACACCTCCCATTTACCACGGTTTAATGAGTTGCTTTATGTAAGCTAAGCTTAAAATTGCAAGTTTAACCCCTACCAAGCATGAGAAAATACACAGTTTAAGCTTACAAGGAGTTTAGGCAAATTAATTTTAATTATCATATGTGATTGATAAGAATGAACGCAGGTACTGCAGCTCAGCTGAAAAGCAACTCACTATACTGCAACAACCCTCAGCCTACATCCAAACCATAAATTCTAATGTTAGTTCCAAAGTTTGGTCTTTATTGAATGTTTTAATGAAATTTAGAATTATATTTTAAACTTACTACACTAAGTAAATATAGCTTGGACATATCTATTTAATGGACTAAACAGGTATAAAACCAGTCTCTCAAGTAAGTACAAGAGTCAAAGAATTACAAGAACAACCAGAGCAAATGAAGGACACAGTTTGATGGCACAGTGCATTTTGCAGGTCAGAATGGCCTCCACAAGTCCAAGAACCAGCCTGAGCAGAGCAGCATTCAACTGTAACCAGCCCAAGCGAGGCCAGTTCCGCAAACACAGACTGAAAAAAAGCTGATCACATAGCAGTTCCCAAAGTGGAACTCCCCATCCCTTTTGACCATAAGCTTCCTGAACACCAACACTGTTGTGCAGGTGTACAACATCACACGACTCTCAAAGGTGAGTACATCCTGCAAAACACACTCAGCACCAGGAAGGCTTCAACTGAGCAGTGGTATATCCACTTTTTGGGAGCACACTTCAAGGAAGTATGTGATCCCCATGAAAAGGGTCCAAACAGGAAGAGAGAATGATCAAAGCTAAAAGTTGCCATATGTAACATCACAGCAAATTGGCATTCTTTAGCCACTCTTTAATCTAGAGAAAAAGAAAACTGGGACAGCATTACCAATTTTAAAATATGGAATATGGTTGCAGGAAGGAAGGTAATAAATTGTTTTAAATTGTTTCTTATATCCACAGAAGGCAGAAGGAATAGCAGTAATGGTTTTGAATTGCAGCAATAAGCATTGAGGTAACACATCAGAAAAATCTTTCAGTGAGAGATACAATAAAATCATCAGAACAAACAAAATCAAAAGGCTTTAAGAAAAGGTTAGACAAACAATTGCTAAGTAGCAACCATAAGGGTGATGTATTTTATTTATATATTTTATTTAAATGCATAAATGGAAAAACAGTGAGCTCTGAATTATCTACCAGGCTACTCTTGTCTATGGATTCCCATAGGAAGTATATGCAATACAAGTGTGAAAACAAATCATTTAACACACTTCTTCACTGATAGTAATTCTTTTTCAGTGGAGTCAAACCAACAGCTTACAAACAGCACCACAAAACCTGAAACACTGCTCACTGGCATTTAAATTAACATGATGAAATAAAGCCAAGAGAAGGAAAGTCATACCATCACTTGTAGAACATTAGACATGCTGAATTACTACTGCCCGTGAGCCAACAAACAACAGGAAAAAACCCAAACATTCCCTAGAATGCTGTCCACAGCTGTACCAGCATCGCATTTACACAGAAATCAAGTATAAACCATTGTTCTGAACCCAGTCTACACCAGTGACAGTATCAACAACTGAACAGTTCATGGAAAGGACTGCTGAGGCAGCTTTCTATCAGCACTTTCATTCTTCTCCTGTTACTGTATTAAAATTATCTTCTGGAAGCTAAAGATTAATATCACTAAATCACTATGAAAAAGAGGCCTAATCAACAACAACAAAAAAATGCCTTGGAATTAGACCATGCAGGTAATCTGCCTTGTAAAGGCATAGAGCTCACAAGTTATACAAACTGCAGGTGAATTCTCCAGCTGTTTATATCCTTAAAGGCACACATTCCTGGCTATTTCTGACTCTGCATTTTGAACTTAAAACACAGACCAAGCAAGTAGGAGGCAGAATAAATTACTATCTCCCAAGAATTACTCTCCTGTGACACACCCATAGCAAACTTGTGCAAGGTCCAAACATTTAAAGAAACAAGTAAAAACCTATTGCCTATTTTCCCAGTACTGGCATTTTATTATTTAAAATTCTTAAAGTGACAAAAACAAACCAAACCCAAGCCTTTGGAAGAAAAAAGAGTAAATCTGGTTTTCCACTTTTGTGTGTGTGTGAACTACAGCTTATGTTTTGCTGTAACCTTCATCATCCATAAAATGAATTAATATTTTTACCATACTGGTTTTCTTAATTAAATGTTGTACAAGCAGGAAGGGGAGGAAGAAGGCCACTGTACACTACCAGCTGAAGGACACTTTTAGTAAAAGATTAAGAAGAGGTTTCTTACAAGGACTATAAAATGTTGCTAGTTACCACTACATCCTTTTATAGCTCTTTCAGCTTTTGCTGACCACCTGAGGAGTTGTTACTGATTGCTGCAGCCCCAACTTTTTTCTTAACTTTTCCATTTGCTGCATGCTTCCCAAAGCTGCCCTAGAAGGCCGCTCAAAGACTACTTTAAGCATTAAGACTCCTCAGCTGAGAAGGCCACTTCAGAACCAGCACTCTCCTAAATTCTTGAGAAATTTAGAGAGGTTGTACCAAGTTCTGGCTCCCCAAAGCCAAGCAATGGCCTTTAACCAATGACTGACCCACCGAAGGAAGCAGTGGTACCCTTTCAGTGACCCCATTGCTCAGAAACACACATCTCTGCCTCCTTCCCCTAACACCTCCTACAAACGTACTGCCTTCAAACCCAATCAATGAAAAATAAGCATTTCCCCTCACAGAACTCAACTACTGACTCTCCTCCACCCCTTGCCCTACCCGTGCCGCCCGTGAACCCTCCCCAGCAGCCTCTCCCAGCCCTTGGCCCCAAACACACTGACCAGCAGCAGCAAGGCCTCACCAGCTCGTCCCTCAGCCCAGCGCTGCTCCTCCCAGTAAACGCTCCGAAGCCCTGACCGCGGCTCCCCTCACACACTCCCACCCCTTAACCCCCTGAAAGCCCTCACTTCCCTACTCTCTATTACCGCCCTACCGCGGCAAAAGACACCTTCACACACACCTACCCATGTACACCTACGCGGCCCTGCCCACCAGGCCTCAGCCGCGGCCCACCCCTGCCGCAGGGCGCACGCGCCAGATCAGCCATCTCCTGTTGGGTGATCTAGCTGTCTATCAAGAGGCGGGCGCGGATACGGACCAATCAGCAGCGTCCGTCGTCGAGCGGGCGGAGCCGTGACGGCGTTGGGGCGCCCTGAGGGTCAGAGCAGGTAAGGGGTGCTCGTTTGGCCTTTGCGTTAGGGGTTTTGGCTTTAGCGGGGCGGGGGAGCCGCGGGGCTGGTCTCGGCCCAACAGCGAAGTCGCCAGGAGTGAGGAAGCGCTCGTGGTGCGAGCGGTCAGTGCGCCTGGCCGTTTACAAACCCCCGCCTGTCCAGCCTGGCTGCTGTATGCGGGAGGCCTCGTCCGGCACCTGGGCCCGGCGCGGCAAGCAGGGAGATCGCTGTGGGTCGCTTTGGGTTGTCCCCGTGTCGTGGAAGCTCCTCTGCTTGGGAGGAGGCTGGTGGTTGTAAACACGCTCTTCTCCGTGCTGCGCATGGCGGGACTTGGCAAGAGCACGTTTACTCGTGCTGCGTGGGGAAGGCGGTCAGCGCCGCACGCTGTTTACTTCAGCCTCCCTTCGAACAGCCAATAGTAATGGTCTGTCTTTCTTTAAGATACGGTGCCGCTTGGACTTTCTTTTGCTTGAAAGAAACTCTTTCAAGTAAATTACTCTCTTAAATGGCTTTGATCTCTAGTCCTTTGCAAAGCTATTTCATCGAAAAGAGGCTGTGTTAAGAGACTGTTGTGACTGTTCCAGGCAAGTGGCACTGAAGTATGTGTGTGTATTTGTTTTACAAGTAGAAATGAAGAGGTGTTACCGGAGAGGCAAAGGAAAGCGTGGACGGCGTGCAGCTATTGCTCCCGATCACAATAACCGTACTGTGAGGCAAGTATATGCAGCTTGTGCTTGCCATGGGTTAAGCTGTTAGATGTTATGCCTGATTAAATTTTCAAAATAGTGGCTATGTCGAACTGAGAGTATGCCATCTAAAAGTCTAGTGCAGATTATAGTATATCTGTCATCTCTACTTGGACTAGAATTGCATTGATTTCTGGGAGTGTATCATACGTGCACAACTGTGTATTGGCTTTAAACTGAGATGTAGTTTCATGGGCTAGTCCTTTCAGGTGCGCCTGGTCATCCATAAACTCTTCATCAATATGCAAAGATAGTTCAGGGAACAAAAAATGTTTGTATTTCATTCCACCTGCCCATTTATTTTATGCTCAGTGTGTACTAGTGTAAAAACTGTCATTAAAGGATCTTGCTGAAAGTTTAAAAGCATGTTAAGTAACATGATAATAATACTACATGTGGCAGATCAGGGAGCTGACACAAGGACTCAGGAATAATCCACTGCCTTGAAAACTGATTCGTTCAGAAAAGTACACTTTAAACTTTTGAACTTATGCTTGCCTGTGTTTGAGCTATTTTTGTGCCTCTTTTTCTTTCCTGTGTTCTTTCTTTAGTTCCTCTTCCAGGAATAAAAGAGGCCAGTCCTTTGCTTTAATTAGCATTTAGTTAGCATTTTCTAGCAAGTATATGTTTAGAGAAAGAGAGACACACATGAGTTTGCCTCATTAGTTGTTTTTGTGTAAGAAAAGTTAAAAATGCAAATGGTCCCTAATTCAATGAATACGGAATTAAAATGATCTTATTAAAAAGCTTTCAATGAAATGCTTGTGTTTGGTGTGAGGTATTTTTCCTTCTGTAAATGTTACGTTCTTTAACTTTTCAAAGTTATATAATCAAACAGTAATAGAGCTGGTATTGGAATTAGAATTTCTTTGTCATTTTGTTTTCAATAAATTATGACTTGGAAAACATTTTGGCCTAATGCTTTTAAGAGGACATGTAATAAGGCCTCTCTTTAAAAGTGAGAATTGTACAGGCAATTCAGAAAACATCCCCATGGAACTTTGCTCATCAATACTGAATACGCTCATTTGAGTTACATAAAAAGAAGAAAGCTGCAGTTGCCCTGTCTACTGCAATGTTTATTACAAAAGCAGAGACTTTTCTTTCTTGGAGTTTTCATTAAACTTTTATTTTGCCTGTTTCTGAACCTCATCAGTGAAATTTCTGTCACAAAGAGAATGGCAAAATATTGTTGACTTGACATCAACGTTTTACCCACACTGTCTCTTGTTTTAAGCTGTGAAGTCTTACATGCTTTCAGGGGTGGGCTTTTCTTTTAATCAAGGGGTATGATAAAAAGCCCAGAATTAATCTTTTGCTGAAAAGAATTAAAGGCATTTGCAGAGTTAGCAGACAGCTGTAATGTTTTAGCAAGTAATTAAGGCCTTGAAAATACTGGTACCTCTAATGTTCTTGAGAGGTTATTAAGCTGAATATTTTTACTGTTTAATTTTCATAATGTAGTGTATGGTGAAATGCTCAGGGTGCTTATCACAGCCCTGCAAAACTGTACTCCATTAATGTAAATAGCAAGCCTCTTTCTAGATTCTCTGTGGGAAAGATGTGTAGGACAGTAGTGAGCCTGTCTTGAAGACAGTGCTGTTTTTTTTAGGCTGGAACAGGAAGAACCACAGACCCCAGTGCATGCAGGCCCCAGCAGCAGCGGGGATCCTTCTTCATCCAGTTTAACCCAGAACTCTGTAGTAGCAGGTAAGAGACCGTGTCTTACGTGTCAAAAATCACTGCCTATATGCTGACTACACAAAGAAAGTAGTAGTAGCTGTGTTAATGGTATGGAGTTACAGGAAGTATATAAGCAGTAAAGTTTGTGGGGGAAAGTAACATTGGGTGATATAAAAAGATCAGTAAGTGAGGAATGAGAGAGGAGGGCCAAATGTACTTTCACACCCCTAAGTGCTTCTCATATTTGAAAACTTGTGTGCTTAGCCAAACTGATATAAACTGAAAAAAATAGTGGCTAAATGTTTGTTCATTATCAGGGAGTTGACTGGTGAAACCATACTTGATGCAGTAGCAGTGCTATTGAGGAAGATGTTACATTTGCATTCTGGTTTCCTGACTCATTAAACAGCCCTAGCAAAAGCTAAGCCTGTGGGAACATCTCTTTCCCCACAACAGGAGAGTCCTGAAACACCACTGACTATTACCTCTTAATGACAAAGACAGCATTTAAGGGCACGTTTTTTTGTATATCACCCTTTTGTGTTTAAGAGACTGTGAGTGTGTTAGATGTATCCTGCAAAACATTTGTTGCAGTATAATTAGATTATGTATACTAACTGCAGTGTGCTGTTACGAACCTTACTGATTCACTCACTCTGTATTTTTGTTGACTTGAATAAATCTTGTGTCACTTGTTGCTAAGCTGAAACCTAAAAGATGCTGACAATGAGCTGAATTATAAGCAGCAGCAGAAGAAAGAGGTTACTTCAAATGCAGTTTCTTGTAGCAGATAAAGGTTTAAATAAAAACTCTTGAAATGAAATGTTAACACTCATCTTTCTGAACAAAATCCTTTGTCTTGAGACATTGTGCCATATGAATCTAAGTATTTTACCTGTCTGCCTCTCTGAATTTACCTGGGCAGTGAAGCACTAAAATTAAATGTTTCTTTCATCCCTGTTTATCTTTGAAATGAGCCTCTGTGTATTGTCCAAATGTACTCTTGATTGTATCTATATTTCTCCTATGTGTTGAAGAAAAAGTGGCTTGTTCTGGGAAGTGAATCACTTTATTTTGGTTTGGATGATACCTTCTTGTCATTTGTTTGTGACTGCCTTACCTAGACTTCTAACCAAGAGTATCACCTCAGGAATGATTTATGAAGAAAGGTCACTTTTGTTCTGCAGCAGAATCTTTCCTCTCTGCTTCTGTGATCTGTCTGGATTTCATCTTGGTCATTGATGACATCCTTTCTCTACTTGTGTAATGGCACTGCATTTGAAAACTATAAATAATATTTTTTTCCTTTAAGTGGCAGTTATCTATTCCTAGTCTGCGTATCATGCTTGGGACCTGCTGAGAGCAAAAGCATTGAGCCTTATGACTGACATTCCCATGAAGCTGCGGGATGTCAAAGAGCAGTAAACAAACTTAGTTATCTATCTGATTTTGCCTGGGTTTTGCCATTTTTTTTTTTTTTTTAACCCTAAGAACTGCCAGGATTTTACTATGACGCAGACAAGAACCGCTATTTTCGCCTGCTGCCTGGGCATAATAACTACAACCCACTCACCAAGGAGAGCATTCAGTACAAGGCCATGGAATGCAAAAGGCTGAAGCTTTTAGAAGAGGAAGAAAAACAAAAGAAGGTACATTCTGAAAAATATTGCGATTAGGCTTTATTATGCTCTAGCCCAGGACAGGTGATAAACTAAAGCTTTTCAGTTCTGACTGTGGTACAGTTCCCTAAGCTGTCTGAAGAAAGGAAAATTTCTTTCTGCAGAGAATTTATAGTCCTTGTAGCTTTTGTTTGGCTGCTCTACACAGGAATGAAAGCAAGTCATTACAAATGAAAAACCTGTAAATAGACAGGAACTGTGCTTAAAATTGCAGATTGTCCAACAGTTACGGTTGAGTCAGGACATTAGATGCCAGGTTTCAAATCCCTGCCTTGAACTGGCAAAGTGGGATCTTGATTTTCAGTTTTCCACATATTTAGTTTCCACATATTTAATAAATGTGTTTATCATATTCTTGGACCCTGTAGAAACAATAGTAATTATATTTTGTGGAAACAGCTTTTTCATGAAGATTTTTTTTGTTGTTTTTTTTGACAGGTAAGATCAGGGCAGGTTGTATGTTTATGCCTGGAAAGCCTGTGTGGTTTTCATCATAAAGTGTTACAGCAGAGTTAATGCTGATACTGCGTATCTGTAATCTAGGTAAAATGCTCAACATGGATGTTTTAGTTACCTGAAAGCTGTATCTTACAACTTTATAAATCACAGCACAGCCTAAATCTGCTGTCAGTTGGAAGAGGCAAGCAATATTTTCCTCGTTGGGTAATAAAGTTCTTGCTTCAGCTGGTGTTCTGCTTTTCAGTCCTTACTGTGAAAATGTTGCAGTTGATTTGGTTTTGGCTTTTTTTTGTTGTTGTTCCAGCTGTTTATGTGAGCCGTTTAGGTTTCATAGATACCAAAGAGCTGCTGGCCACAGTGCTGTAGATGACACCCTTGGTGACATGATTTAGTCCTTCACCCCATGGACTTGGTAGCCTTTGGGTGAAGGTTGGACTTGATGATTTTAAAGGTCTTTTCCAACCTAGTTGATTCTCTGATTCTGTGAGTCTATGGATATACATCTCAAAGCCTGGCTATTGAATCAGACATCTGAATTAGGCTCCCAGATAAAAACATTCTTAAATACTTGCTTTGTCTCCCCAGAAAGTGTTTGCATGAAACTTTAAAAAATGAGGAATCAAGAAGTAGTTAAATTAGTGCATCAGTAAGGCTGCATAGTTAATATCAATATTGTGATAGAAAATTGTGCTCTATAATAAGAACTTACAGTTAGTGGCTGTTGGGCTTTGTTTAGTTGTTTTTATGTTTCTCTGGGATTTTTCCCTTCAGTTTTTCTATTTATAGAAGCACCCCACAAAATTTCACAGGAATATATTGTCTATTTATTGTAGGAGACCAAGGAGCTGATGCTGGAATGTGTTTTATAGAGGTTCTTAAAATTTTAATATATATAGGCTAGAGGAAAAAGTTACCCAAACATCTAAGATGTGTTTCAATTGTGAACAAGTAAATAACTGAATACACTTTCATGTTACTCTCTTCCAGCAAACAACAAGGGCTGGACTGAATTCATCTATGCTGTTGCAGAAAAGGCAGTTGGGTTTGCTCAGCTCCACAAGTTATTGCAGGTACAATGGTGTGATTTGTTTTCTGTTTGTAGTACCAAGTTCTGCTGTTAGTACAACTGTTCCTGTCAGGTTTTTTTTGCATTTCTCACTGTTCCACTTAAGATAAAGAAGACTATAGTACTTACAATAAGAAATTAGGTATGTTCTTTTATAATCAGATTACTGAAGTGATGAGAACTCAAACAGAATAGGTTTCCCAATTTTGGAGAAATGGAGTTTAAAACTTCATTTCCCCTGTGTCTCTCCCCTCCCTCCCCAATATATGCTGGTTTGCCATATTGTGCTTTATGAGAACAGTGCATTTGGATGACTGAATGCTCTTCAACTGACATAAGCATTCCCCCCATCCCAGTAGAATGGCTCAGACAGCCCAGATTCACTAACAGCACAGAAAGCAAGTTACTGACTTGCTATGATGTTGTTTCTGCTGCTGAAGTTGTGTTGGTGTTCAAAATAATAGAATGAAATTCCATGAATGTGGAAGATGCACATGTGCATGGCTCATGTAAGTTAAATTGCAGCGTGCTAGTTGATCTGACATTTTATATTCTGTGATTGAAAAGCAGTTCTGGATATCTTCTCCAGAATTCTTTGGTTGGCATTAAACCTAGGCTTACGTGAATTCTTTCTCCCCACCTACTTTTACAGGCTGGTTCATGAGCTGAAAGTAAACTGCATGCACAGGAGGAAGATAGAAATTCACAGTCCAGATTCTTCAGTTGCTGGAACCAACAATTTTAAAATAATTGTGGTATGTTGATGAGAACTTACACCTTTAGGATAAAGAAAGCCCATCTTCAGTGAAAATTCAGGATCTTGTAATTAAACCCCATAAGTCAAATTTTGCTTTCAAAAATGCATTATTCCTGTTGTGTCAGTTCTCAAAATCTGTGCTTGGTAATTGAACAGGTAGGAAGAGGTTATGACTTTCCTAGAAAGAAAATAATGAAAAAGTTGAATATGAAAGTGATATTTTTGGGGGTGTTTTTTTTGGAAACTGATCAGCTTGTTGTCTTGGAAATAAGCAGGAGTTGAGTAGATTGGAAGGGAAGGTACAGAGGATTAACAGGAAGAATAAACTGGAAGAGAATTTTGGGAGTGGCAAAGTCTGTGGTCCAGAGAACCTATTTAAACATCAGTAATCATTTTACAGCTCATGATCTGAAGGCAGTTTCTGCTGAAGTTGATGGTACTGCACGTGCAGGAGAAGTCTCTGGGGCAAGTATGTTTCGTAGTCTATGTAGGAAGCTCTGCAAGACCAGCTCCTGGCCTTGCAAACACAGCACTGGGTAGGTAGCTGAAGCTGGAAGTGTCAGAAACTTAGTGTCAGAAAGTTGAAATGTAGCATTTGCTGTGATCCAGCAGCAGCAGAATTCCACTTCGATAAGGTTAAAATTTTTGGTTCGGGTCCCCTACCTGTATCAGTTTGTGCTTATTAATCCTCCAGAGAAAGTCTAGAACTGCTGTGATTGGAAAGAGTACTTACTGTTACTCAAGAAGTAAATGCTTTCCTTACTCATGTTTCTGTGCATGCATATAAAAAGGAGTTAACCACTTCATTTTAGAGATGAATGGAAAGTGTATGATGTTAAAGGGATGAGAATTAATGTGTTGTTTCATTTCAGACCTAATGCAGCTCCTTCAAACTATTTTTTCCTGGAAGTTTGCAGGAAGTGTGACCAGTAAACTTTTCTTTTACAGGCGGATGTTGCTTGTGAACGGATATTCACTGTGAATGATGTAGAGCATGGAGGATGTAAATACGGTATCATCAACCTCAGTGGTTTGGGGAAGGAGTCTCCCACTGTGGAGATGTATGACAACCTCTACTTCACAAATCGCAAAGTACTGTGTTCTGTTCCTGCTTCCTTCCTTTATTGCATTCTCAGAATGCTGCTCTTGGGAATCACAGGTAGAAATGCATGACGGTTGAGGAAGGGGTTAGGAGGAGAGAATGGAAGAATCCTGCAATGTGAAGCTTGGATAAATGCAGATTCTCAGTAAACTTGTCTCTGAAAGTCCTCAGTACCAGTGTTAGTTCTCAGGAATGTTATGCTACAGTTGGAAGACTATGTAGAAGTATCAGCTTCCAAGGAACTTACTTCAGAGTTGCACTTGGCCATAGCTGTCAAAACTGATGTTGAAGGCCAGAAACCACTAAGATTTGCATGCTTCTTTCTTAAAAAATAATTTGGGAAAAAATGTGTTTATTCTCTATCATGAAGCATATTTAAAACCAGCTTTCATAATCTCTCCATCCTCAGATTCTTTTAAAGATGAACTCTTAAATAATAGGATGTGCTTGATACCTCAGTCTATGTTTGGATAGACTTCTCAATTCTGCTCTGTCCTCTAAGAGAAGTATGAGGTTAAAATGCTCATGTCCCATTGCTGCACTTTTTATTGGGTTAAGGAAGTGTGCCCAGTGCATAATTTTGTCATCAGTGCATGGAAATATCATTTCATGAATTGAATAACAGATCACAAAACCAGTATGTCTTCTTGTGTCTGAAGGTGAATTCTATGTGCTGGGCATCACTGACTCATCCAGATTCTCATGTTTTATATCCTTTTTAAAGAAGCAAAATTTCAGTTCAGCCTTCACAAGTCTGCATCATGCTGCAGAGAACTAACTTCCAGAAAAGGCCTCTCATGTAGGTGTCCCAGAAATTAAGTTTTCTGGAAAACAGATAAAAGTTATAAAAACTGGGAGATGTTGAAGATACTGAGACAGATGTATGATTCTGTTATATGTAGAATTGTTCCAGTGTAATAGTAGGTGAGAGAGCATGTTTCCTTCCCTGGAGACTTCCCATTTCATTAATGATGTAAATGCCATATCCAAAATTATCTGATGTTTAGAAATTAGCTGGGGCAAAAGAATGAGAGAGAGGGTTAAAGGAACTACCTTTCTCCTTAAAGTGGACCTCTTTGAAAGTGAGTTGGTTTCTGTTGTAAACCATCCCCCATACTGGTTGGGATGAGAGGAGAGTGGGTGTAATTCTTGCTCTTATACTTTCAAGACATGTTCTACAGATCTGTCTTGGAAGAGGAGGAAGGTTGATGCAGCAGAAGCAGCAATAGTGGACAGTGCAGAAGAGAGGAAGAAAAGGATTTTAAAGTGGGAGATAGCAGGCAACAGTTGTGATGATAAAGTGCCTAAAGACAGGAAATTCCATGTAATGGGAAAAGCCAAGCAATTCAGGACTGCTCCAGAAGGTGGCAGGAGTGCGTCAGGCTTCCTCACAGCTGGTTGGGAGCTGGGGGGGGGGACTGTTTGGTCATCTCGTGCTTTCCTCTAGTCATGTCACAATTTTACCGCACTGAACTAGAAATGCATCTTTCAAATCCTGTTTATACCTGATATAAACTTTAGAAAGTATTTTAGTGTAATCTAAAGTGAGTCTTCCTTGCCTCCCAATATGTGTGCCTCTTTCCAACTCATCTCCATGAAAAACGGATCTATATTAATGCAGTGTCATCAGCATGTAAAGATGAGAAGAATGATCTATGGAGGCTATGCATTTTTTTTCTATCACTAGAGAGATGCCTTAGTATTCTTCTGTCGTCTTTCTTGCATATGTATTTTTATTACCAGAATAAGATCTTTCTAGCCTTTTCCTATGAAAGAAATGAAAAGTCAAGACTTAATTGGAAACTGTAAGGCACATCAGAAGTCTCAAAGAGAAGGTATTGTGAGCTGTGGTTGTGTTAGATCATCTTGCTTTTCCCAGCTATAAATGTTAGGTAGCCTCTCCCATTACAGGGGGAGATTTTTGTTTTCCTTAACTCACTTCAGCAAGCTGTGTCTCATGGGAATTGCAGAAACACCAGGCTGTGCCAGTCTGCTTCCAGCATCGTTGTTCAGCAGCGATAACTCAGGTAGGATGTTTCTGTTATTTTTTTTTTCTCTCCAGTTTTTGATAGCAGTTATGGCATGAAAAGAGCATAAAAGAAAGATTAGTTCTACACTTGTCTTCAGTAGCTGGTGAGACTTTTGTATTCTTGAAAACTGAGAAAGTCTGAACCAGTTTAAGAAGTAAACAGATAAGAGAACTTGCCTTAAGAATTAATTAACAAGCAGTATTCAAAGCACTAGTTTATTTTTAGCTGCTGCTGACATAGTACTTGAGTTTGGCAGGAGAACACCTCACTTGTAAAGTAAACACTTAAGATTTTTCGCAGTATCTTTCCCTGTAACTGATACTCAGAAGCTGCACATGAGAATTACTCAAATTTCCTTAGAGAAAATCCAGAATCATTGCAGAATCCCTTCTCGTAGTAGCTACTCAAGTATGCTCACTGGATTAATCAAAGGTGGAAAGGTGGTCAATGCCTTAGCCCATAGCTGCTTGTACAGACTCATGCTCAGTTGTGTGTAAATGTGATTGATGTGGAGAATCCTGTGTCTTAAGTCTGATGGCTGTGGCTGTGTCTTTATCTTTGTTCAGTGTTTTGGGGGGGCAGGACTTCCTTGATAGATATCAGAACCATGCTTCTTTGAGTCACACAATACTGTCCTCTGACCCAGTTTCCATTCAGACATAGTCAGTTAAGTTTATACAGAGAAAACCTGTGACAGATAAAGAGTTATGGACCTATTTAAAATCCTTAATGCCATGCTGCCATTAAAAAAAAATGTGTAGGGTTAGCATGAACTTGAAGAGTCACTGATTCTTCACTGACTCATCAGTGGCTCATGCTGGCTACTAGGCCAGCATGCACAGTTGCTTTCTAGAACATTTGAAGCCCTTCACCAAAATCAGAAGCCCTGAGTTCTACCCATGTCCTCCTGTCTAGTATGTCCTATTAACGTTTTCAGGTATTTCCAAGTTAGACTGACTTCAGTCTCCTAAGCTGTTGGTTTGAGGGAACCTTGCTAAGCAGATGCTGGGAGTAAAGTAGTAGTTCATCTGTCTAAAACTGGGTGTTAGACATGTCCCCTGTGCTGGCTGACATGCACATGATCGTGGTGCATGTGCATGAAGTAAGTGCAAACTGAGGACTTAAAATTTACGTCAGTTAGTAGACTTTATGCCGGAGCTACAGAAGTAAGGGTCAAATCAAAGGTATTGTTAGGCTTTGGCTAATCTATAGCTTATAAAGTAAATGTTTTGTGTTTCTAGCCCACTTGTCTTTAAAAAATGGCTTTCTTAGTGCTATAAGACAAGTGTTAGCTTTTCTTTCCTGCTGTTGTCAGCACTCTAAATGCTGAATAAATTTCATGATCTCTCACAATCATCAATGTAGACACGTCTTCAGCTTACAGTCATGAAGCCCCACTTTTGTATTCTGTCTTGAGTACCACAGGGACAGTAACTGGGTAACACTTCCTCTGCTTCAGATGGAAACGCTGGAAGAATTATGGAAATCCAGAGAAGCTTTTTGGGATATCACCCTATCCTAACATTTTATGGATGCCTCATGTATTGCTTCTCCCTCCTAGGAGATCGACCTGGTATGCTGTGCAGCTTCAAGATATCGACTGCCTGGTCCTGTGCTTGGTGCCTGAATCCTCAAATAAATGCCTGCTTCAGCACAGGTGATCCACAAGGCTAGCAACCACTTCTGTCTCAAGGGGAAAGACTTCTTACATTAATCGCCAAGCTGCTACCCAAATTACAGCTAAACGAGCATAATCTGTCTTCCTTAGGCCTGACACGACGAGTTCTTGTGGCCAATGTAGTGACAGGGCGTCAACAGTCATTTAGAACCAGTAGTGATGTACTGGCACAACAGTTTGCCACACAGGTAAGAACCACCATGCCCTTTTTCCACAGCTTTATGTTCTGTCTGTGATTGAACTCATCGTACCATACATAAGGTTGTGATTACAATTACTGTTGGATAGATACTTCACAGCACAGCTGATGTGGTCTGATAGTTGCATGCAATTGAATAGCAAAGATTAACCAATTTCAAACTCTGTGGCAACAGGGGTAACTTTTGTTAACTGTATTGAGGTAAAAAGGAAACGAAGGAAGTACAAAGAGCAGAGTGATAACCTGTGTTAAAATTGTTTTATCTGTGGCAAATGACCTCATTTTGTTAACACTCTTGATTGTCTCCATCAAGAAGGAGAAAGCCCCCTATTAAATACTGCTGGAAGTGTTCACAAACATTTAGTGGGAAGGGTGAAACTGGGTATGTGAGAATTCCACTTCCTGTTCTGCTGTTATGTTAGACTAAGTTTCTACTTCCCTAGCTGAACTTTCACAGCTAAAGTAAACAGTTGAGGTTTGAATGGAACTAATGGGTTGGCTGAAAAATGTTGCAGTGTGTTAAAAAAAAAATAAATGTGGGTCTTAATGCCCATGTTAATAACATACTTTTGAGAGCTGGCACCAAAGAGCTCAAAAACCTGACATAGATGCTGTCTGTGTAACCTGTCAGATCCTTTTTAGATGGTATATAGTACATGGCTTTCTCTTGGGCTTTTCCAGACACCAGTGCTGTACAATGGCTGCCGCTCCGGGGAGATATTCAGCATCGATGTGCGTCAGCGCAACCGAAAGGGCCAGAGCTGGAAGGCGATTCAGCTCTTCCATGACTCAGCAGTCACATCCATTCGCCTTCTGAAGGCTGAAGATTACCTTATGGCAGCAGATATGGCTGGCAAGGTATGGATTTGTCACATTTGGGATATTCCATTTGTTTTAGTATCTGGGCACTGACAGGCACTTATCCGAGTCCTGAGGGTGCATGCGTGTTCTTTGGGAATAGTATGTAACTGGTGGTAGTTCCATATATGTGTCCTCTTCCAGATCTACTTATTTGTCAACCATCAAGTGCTCTCTGCTTTCTTAATACGATCTTTCAAACAGTTACTTCAACTTGCAGATAAAACTGTGGGACCTAAGAACAGCAAAGTGTGTGAAGCAGTACAAGGGCCATCACAATGAATATGCTATTCTCCCTCTGCATGTAAATGAGGAGGAAGGACTTCTAACAGCAGGTGGGTTGACTTTTTGTTCCCCTCTACTCAGAGAGTGCATGTCAGTGATTTTCTGATGCCTGAGGAGTGTTTCTTAGCTACAGCTGTTGGAAGCTGTAAAACTGTTAAACCTTTAAAATTCTGAAGAAATTTAGCCTTAGGTGTACTGTAATGTACTATGAAAATTAAGAACTAATGTTATGGATGCACACATGCAGTAATCACTTCTGTGTAGCATGTAATGGCTTACTGCTGTGTCCTGCATTATCCTTTCCACAGTGTGTCTCAAGAGTAGAGCAGAGAATGTAAACAGGAGACTTGGTGATAACTTTATATAGAGACTAAAGTCCGTGTATAGGTTGGTTTGATGGTTAGTGGGTCATGTGGTGATGTACTGAAGCACTGGCATGTAAGCCAGCTTCCCTGTAAACTGTCTGTACCACACAGGTTCATTTTGAGTACACTTGGCTACAGGGTGAGATTTTTTTTATTTTTTTTTTAATTGGGGTTGGGAGGAGGAAAAGTAACAATAAATGAAGGAAAGCCCCTAAATCCTCATTGTATAGCCAAGTTTCACAGTGTCGCTGTAAACACAGTAACCTCCTCTCCTTGGATTTGTCAATAGGTGAGAGGAATTCTTGTCAACTTGACAGTGAGTTTTTCCTTCCCTTTTTTGGCTTAGGACCTTGCTAATGAGGAAAGTGCTCTAAATACTGATTTATTATACCTTTTATTGCCTAATAGGAAATACACATTTTCCCCACTTTGTCAGTATTCAGTGTAGAATGTCTGTTTTGCAAAGTATTGATAAGCACTTTGCCTCTAGTGTGTGTAGAAATGGTCAGGGCTTTTTCCCCATAGACCTTCTGCTTCTGTGTGATAATCTTGCAGAGCCATCTAAAGTACTTTTTATGTAATGCTGCATTCTGTTGTCCTTTCCAGTTGGTCAGGATTGCTACACCAGAATCTGGAGTCTCCAGGATGCCCATCTGCTTAGAACCATCCCTTCTCCCCACCCATCCTCCAAAGATGCTATTCCCAGCGTGGTGTTTTCTTCAAGACTTGGGGGTCGCCGAGGAGTTCCTGGCTTACTCATGGCTGTCAAACAGGATCTCTACCACTTCTCCTATGACTGATACAATATTCTCTTCACACCTCGTCTACAAAGCTGCCAGCCTATACATGACTTCACAATTTCTGCACCTTCTTCAGCAGGTTCAGCAAATCTTGCTGTATGTATATTGTAAATAAAAGCTGAATGCTGATTAACTTCTTGGGCAATACTCAGCCTCTTTGAAACCTAGCTGTAAGCTTTGTAAAGCTGATACCTTTCAGTAAGGGCCTGTCTCCATGCTAGCTGAATTTGCTGCCAAAAGGCTGCTCTAACTTAATCCTAGTTTGTTCATATAACTACTTAGCTGAGGCTGTGTCTGCATTAGGAAGTAGGCTGATGCAATAGAGTGGATTAGCACAGTGAAGTAGCTGGTGTGGAGAAACTGACATTAAATGTTCTTGGGCTTTGCTTGGAGTATCTTTGGTCTGGGTCCATGCATCATGTGTCTGCTACATCTGTGTTTGGAGCAGTCCAACAGTTGTTTCCCCACTCACCGTTTTGGTCCTCTGGGCTGGGCTGTGCTAAACCTTGTCCTTTTCAGATGGCAGTAGGCAGCATGTATAGAAGAAAGCTCCTTTTCTGGTCCAGTAGCCAGGGTGAACATTCCTGTTAATTCATCATAGTGTTTCCTAACCAGGTCCACAGCCCTAACCTGGAGTTTGATCAGCAGTCTGGAATGGCAGGCTTGCTCATGCAGCTGCAGCAGGAGCCAAGCCCTGTCTGGACATACTGCATCTTCCTTGGGATAGGAAATCACCTGTGCAGAGTCAAGGTTCTTGCATACAGAGGTACAACTGGGCCCTCAGCTGTGAAGTTGTAGCACCAGCTCACAGTAATTGGAGGACACTGTATCTGTATTTGAGAACAGTTATCACCCCATGGAGCCTTGTTACCTCCAGCACCTTCCCAGTAACTAGGCTGCAGCTAATGCATGTAGGAAACACCTTTCCACCCTGGGACCCACTTGGAGCATTCAGATTTACAACTGTGTCATCAGAGATGCTGCTTCCCATGGGGTTCTGCCAGGTCATCGGGTGAGCATACCAACAAGTCCTAACCCCACCCTCACTGCACAGCATGTTAAGCTGGAGGCTGCATCCAGCTGCTCAGTGAGCTGGCCATGACAGAGCTAGGCTGAGCACCAGCATGCCAAGTGCTTTGAAATGAGGTACAGGCTGCACACACAAAGGTGAGTGCTGCTGGTGACTGTAGGTGTGGCCTATAGTTGAGAGTACCCAGTGCAGCGCTCATGCCTGGGCTACCCTCTGTGTCTTCATCAACTTACACACACACACCCCCTGCCAGTCTGTCTTGTATCCATTAACTGCAAACTCCTGTTTCACCTGCTGGCAGATGGAGCTGTGAATTCCTTACAGCTGTGGCTGCTCTGACACCTCTGGCTCTATTATGCCTCTGTAGAGCCTCCTTGCTCACACAAAGCAGGGTGGATGCTGCTCACAGCATGCTCTCTGCTGCCTTCTTCTCTTTCCTCTACTGCCCTTGGGTAACTGAGAGACCTGATCCCTGGCTTGCTTTTCAATTTGAGAAAATACTCTGCAACTTGTCTTGATTGGTTATGTTAATATGGGACATTTTCTGTTGCATGCATAGTGATCAATGCATACAGCACAACTTTCAAAAGCGTTTGCATTGACTTAGTTAATAATGAATACTGCAACTAAGCATCTGTCCAGGAAATCGAAATGTAGCTAACCCCATCTCCCCCTGCAAATTCCATGTTACATCTGGTTATCAGCTCAAATTGGAACATACTTCATATTGATATTCTTCCTAGTAAATATGTGTGGTTCAAACATTTGCAGCTAGCAAACCACAAAGATCATGAACTCCCTTAAATCAGAATTGATTCCAAAATTAAATTAGCATTTAAACTCCTTTCAGTGCTCTTACCTCCAGTAATGCCTGTTCTGCAAGAACAAGAGCATGCAACAACTGTGCCCAGTTACCGTGGGAAGCACCAACTGGGAACTGTGGCAGAAAGGCATCTTACATAATGGAAAATAGCTTCTTTTCTGTGTTCCCTTTTAGGCAAACCTTATAAAAGATACTCATTTGCTCCCTGTTGTTTCCAGGAGCTAAACTCACGCACGTGTCCCTGCAAACCCATTCACACAACTACTGCTTTTGCAGCCAACACTTCTAACTAAGCCTGCAAGAGCAGTACGAAAGAGGGCAAGTAGGGCAAGAGAAGCAGTCTGGCTGCAGTGGCAAACAGGGATCAGCCTGCAGGCAGTGGCTGAAGTATGTTAAACTATTTCACTATGCTGCAATAGCTGGGCCCCTGAGGCTGTTAAAAAGTACAGAACTGCAGCATCCTTCCCCTCTGCTACAGCATCAGAATTCCGTATTTGCCTCAACTTCTCAGAAAGTTCTGAGAATTCAAACCCAAACGTGTACATATTCTCCAGCTGTCCCCTTACAGTAGCTGCTTTCAGAAAAGTTACAACCTGGCAGTGGAAAGTTCAGCTTTGGTGCACAAACCTTCAGCTGCACGTACCTGCTTGCATATACGATGTATGCTACATATACTGTGAGCTGACTCAAGCAATCAACACCAACCCAACGTACTTTCTAGACAGAGGGCTGGGTGAAAGATGCTCCACTTGAGTGTTTAAAGCACTTTATGAATTAGTTTCATGTTTCCAAAATGGAAGCCAAGGCTCAAAGTTGATAAACCATTTTAGGTAATGTCTGAAACTACAATAAAGATCACCTGGCTTTTCTTGTTCAAACAACTTCTTCCCTGTCTGCAGTTCTGTTAATACCACAGTAGCTGTGAAGCACTCTGATGCCTTCCTGACAAGTCATCATCTGTACATTGTCATATATCTACTGCTTCTCTCCAGAGCTGCTGTAAAACTGCCTTTTAAGCAGAACCAGATTTAGCCAGGTTTCCAAAGTGTCAGAAATGAGGGTGCTTCAACATCTCCAGGCATTCTTGACATCAGAATTTTTGTAATGCCACAATTGAGACATTTCCTACATGAAGACTTTTTTCATATATATAACTTATTAATATAACATCTATGTTGCTTTATTATTTACCTGAGTTATAGCCAATAAAAATGAAGTAAAAAAGTGGAATACACTTTAGTTTTGGCTTAAGATAACTCCCTAGCTGCCATTCTAGTTTTGCTTTGTCTTTGTCACATTACATCGTTGATTTTGAAAGCCCTCCTAATTAGTTTTTGTTTATTTCGGCATTGCCATGATTTCATTGTCGATGTGCCCACACTATGAACAGTTATGACATACTGTGTGCTGTAACTGACAGAATATACACATCAACATTGCTTTACCAAGAGTGCTCAGCTAAAGCAGGGGTACAAAAACCAGACAGTTCTATCACTTGTCCAAATAACTGTTCTCAAATTACTGACACGCAAAGACGTATCTGTTGGTGCCAAATTATATTACAGCAATAAACCTGATGCAAGGACAATGCCAGAATACATGGAATTACAGTGACTGACATCAGCTGACAATGAAACATGAACATGAGAGGCTGCAAAATAGTGTGATAGTAGAACTTCAGCCTTATTGGGCTGGTTATGCTGAGAGGAAGATGAATAGCAGTGTCTGTATGACCAGGTGTGAAGCCAGAGTCCTGCAGTGTTAAAGCCACAGGGACATGGGTGAATGCCTCAGCACAGCCACAGCAGGTAGACACCTAGCATAAATGCAAGGCAGATCCAATACAATGATGGTGCTTATTTCACCAAATAAACTCTTATTGACATCAAAAGCCAGCCAGGGTTGTCATGTTTTCAGGAACACAACCAAAGGCCCGATTCACAAGTGATGCAGGCAGGAACATAATAAGATACTTTGGCCAACATCAGTGAATGCAACTCCCCCTGTGAGGAACTGGGCAGGAAGATGAATGAGCAGGAAAAATGATGGGACCAGTTTAGTAATAAAACTATTCACAGGTTTCTACTGCTAGGAATTACACTCCCTTGCCTTCAGGTCCTTTTGTTATTGAAGCCTAATGTGTTAATATCAAAGAGCACTGGGCTCTGCTAAAATATACATCTATCACCTTTAAATAGCTAATCCATTTTAATAACCACATTCTATAATCTGCATACTCACACAGCAAATACTAGCTCTTGTGTACAGAAAACAGCAGTGAACTTACACCTTACAGATAGCTTTTCATTTTGGAAAACAACCCAAATAATCATAGAATCATAGAACAGTTAGGGTTGGAAAAGATCTTAAGATCATCCAGTTCCAACCCCCCTGCCACCTCACACTAAACCATGTCACCCAAGGCTCTGTCCAACCTGGCCTTGAACACTGCCAGGGATGGAGCATTCACAAGTTCCCTGGGCAACCCATTCCAGTGCCTCACCACACTAACAGGAAAGAATTTCCTCCTTATATCCAATCTAAACTTCCCCTGTTTAAGTCTGAACCCGTTACCCCTTGTCCTGTCACTACAGTTCCTAATGAAGAGTCCCTCCCCAGCATCCCTAAAGGCCCCCTTCAGATACTGGAAGGCTGCTATGAGGTCTCCACGCAGCCTTCTCTTCTCCAGGCTGAACAGCCCCAGACTTTCTCAGCCTGTCTTCATACGGGAGGTGCTCCAATTCCCTGATCATCCTCATGGCCCTTCTCTGGACTTGTTCCAACAGTTCCATGTCCTTTTTATGTTGAGGACACCAGAACTGCACACAATACTCCAGGTGAGGTCTCATGAGAGCAGAGTAGAGGGGCAGGATCACCTCCTTTGACCTGCTGGTCATGCTCCTTTTGATGCAGCCCAGGATACGGTTGGCTTTCTGGGCTGCAAGCGCACACTGAAGCTGGCTCATGTTCATTTTCTCATCAACCAACACCCCCAAGTCCTTCTCTGCAGGGCTGCTCTGAATTTCTTCTCTGCCCAACCTGTAGCTGTGCCTGGGATTGGTCTGACCCAGGTGTAGGACCTTGCAGTTGGCATGGTTAAACTTCATAATCCTCTCACCATGGTTCAGAAACAGTAAAGTCAAGCCTGCTGCAATTTAAGCACCACATAAGATTCTGCTTTGCTGAGAAACAGCATCAAAGATTCTGCTTCTGGATAATCAATCAAGAATGGGCTCTGCATACTGACTGGCTGCTAAATTCCTAAGACCACACATATACTAAAGGTGTTTAGGCAGTATTTTCTTTGACCAAGCAGTAATTTTGTCTGTGACAAGGGAAAAAGAAAAGAAAAGTCAGACAAGTTGTTGAAACAGATGCCAAAGATTTTATACAAGGAATGTCATGGCTGCTTTCTCTTTGTGCATTAACATGGTAGTAAAGCTACATGCATAAAACAGCACACAGGGCACAGCCTAAAGACCAAGAACACATTGCTCACCCATTAAAAAAATAAAAATACTTTGAAGCACAGAATTATGCTGGATGTGCAGAACGTCTTTTGAGAGAGGATTTATACCTGCTTGTGCCCTCCCTCAGGCAACTGTCAGTTTATGGCAGACTTTGCTTTCAAGAACATTAGACAGCCCCCAGTGAACTCAGCCAGTACCGAAGGTGTCCTGAAACATCTTCTAAGTCTACTTCCATGTGTAGGCTGGATGTAACTGCAAGGGGGCAATCACTCTGTATGTTCTTTCAGAGACAAAGTGAGAACCACTCATTACAAGGAAAAAGTCAGTACGCATGTTCGGAAGATAAAGTCTTTTATAGCAGTTAATTTAATAATACAGTCCTAAACCAGGATGTTCGGCACTCATCTACACAAGAGCACATGTAATAAGCTGGGGAAAAAAATACCACAGTTCCAGGACATTGCATCACACTCCAGCCACTCCAAGAGGAGACAATTCTCATGCGGTAGAAAAATTCTTGTCTGCGTAAGCCAAGAAGGGAGAATTTTAGGTAGTTTAATCCACAACAGTCTCTTACTTCTTATAACTGGAACCACAAATCCACAGTACAAGACACCATTAGTTAGGTTAAGTGGTGCTTATAATAAAATCAGTGAATTCATTGCAGTCCTCTAATAAAAGGATGAAGTCCTGTGAGTGCCAGTTGCTAGGAGCAAAGAAGAAAGATTCCCATCTTCCAGGTGGATTTGTAAGTTCATATTATTAGAAAAAAGATGAGTCAAATCTGTGTAGTTTCTTTGCAACCACGTCTGAGAACACAGAGGCGCCAGAGACTATGGGATCACTTAAAAAGTCAGGGAAAACAAAAGTCATCACAATTCAAACAACTCAAACTTTGTATATCAGAATTGCCAACAAAACTTGTTCTCTTGTTCTGCTCTGGACAAAACTTTTAACTGCAACAAGCTGGCAGAGAAAATTGAAAACACCTGAGTACATGAGAACATTGCCAGGGAGAGCAAGACCCTGCTACCTTTTGATCTGGTATTGAAGTTGAGAAGGCAAAAGCAGAATGCTTTGCCTTGTGCCGTATGATTTGCTCTCCTTTCAGAGCTCTACTGGTCTCTACTTCAAACTTGATACCTCTTGCACTGCAAGACCACTGCTCATATCACAGTTCACACAAACTTGCTAATGAATCTGGGTTTCTGGATTAATTCCATGGCCAGAATTACAGCACCTCCAGGTATAAGGTATCATTCATACATCAACACTGGAGATTTCCTGGCAGCACAGAATCCAAACCTTCCTCACAGGACATTGTGATCAGTAAGACGTTCCAAAGAAAGAATCAGAAGGCCATATGTCTGATCCAATATAGTAAGGAACACCATCCATCATCTGAACTAGGAATACTCAAAGCTTCATTAGCCAACCGTATTCTTAATATACTAAATTAGACATAGTTGATATATATATAGATATCTATTTTTTTTAATTAGAATAAAATATACTGGATTTTTGTTTGTTCATTTATAAGGGAGCTCCCTCCCTTCTCCAGTTAATTTGAAATTAAAACCTAGAGGTTGAACATAAGCTCATTCCCAGCGTTCCAAGATGGATATAGCACAAGAGGAGGCCAGAAACTGGAAACATGCACTCTGGCTGCAACAGGTTAAGAGGTGAAAGGGAGACCAGATATTTTCATTTGTAACCCTGAGAACATAAGGAATTGCAAAGATCAGGAGAAGAGCCTGGGGTTAAAGGTCACCAGGCTTTTTATTGCAGTTAAAGCAAACTCGGACTGGGTGATCCCATCCACGAGAGGGAACCGCTCTGCGATCATGTGAGCATTCATCACAGAACCCCTGGCCACAGGCCCGACAGTGGTGCTTGGAGAGTTTGATACTGAATTCCTTCCGGCAGTTGTGGCAGTGCAGGATTTCATGGTCTGGTACCCAGTATGCAGGTCGGGCAGCATCTTTTACCAGACCTATGGAGGAGGATGTGAGGTTTGAGGTGGGGTGAGAAAGAGGAAGAAGAAAATAATCTGTGAACATGGGCATGTCAAGAATGTACTCCAGTAAAAGCATTCACACACTGCAAGTCATACCACTGCCATTAAGGGGAAAAGACCTACTGACAGAATACTTCAGTGCAACAGGTAGCTCTTTAGGCTATTCTGCCATTCTCTAGTATTCTGCCTCTCTTCAAAGGAATAAGATTGTTTCTCCTTAAATGTTGGCATTTCTACCTTACTCACACTCTTCCAGAGGCTGAGACACTTGCTTTTCCCTACCTTCAGTTTTTGCTGTGGCCAAAAAAGCAGACTCACCAAACCAAACGTTCAGAAACACCTGTACTGCCTGAACTGACAAATGCATTTATTCTGCCTTTCACTGGATCAGACAACAAACACCCACAAGGGTGATGCCAGGACATCCATAGGCAAAGCAGTGGAACAATGATCTGTGCCATGAGTAGGCAGTCCAGTCTGACAACAGAAGATTCAAATGCAAACAAAGTGTTTGCTGACATACCTGCACTGCTACTCAGCACCTGAAAAAGCAAATGTTCACTGTACTAAGCTCATCACTAAAGATCGCATTACTTTCTTATAATTACCAACCTGGATAGCTTCACATTCTCAGCCCTCCCTTGCAGAAGTACCAAGTGCCAGAGAATCCAAGAACACACTTAAAAAGGCACTCAGCATCTCTGGAAGAAAACCAAACCTGATAAAATGCTTCCTAATTAGCCAGTCTTCAGGGAACTCCAGCTGGCAGGTTACTGCAGCGATGCATCAGGGAACATGAATTACTCACAGCTTGGTGCACACAGATTTGCACAACAGGGAGGAAAGAGAAGGTGTGAACTGAGGAAAGTGCTGAAAACCAAGAGGAAACATCAAGCGAGAGAAGTCAGAGGGCTGTAGAACTCTCAACCAGCAGTGGTATGTGCAGCAGAGGTGCCAGCCTGTCACACAAACACTTGAAGTTTAATCAGTAGGTTTGCTCTGTGAAAACAAAAATGCCTCTAGACAAAAAGAAAAATTAAACAATCCACCGGAAGAGAACAGAGCTCACCTAAGGGAATGTCCATGGCTGTCACCACCGCTCCAAGAGTGTTCTGCACAGCTTCCCCCACCTTCCTGGCAATAAGAGTCCCACCTTCCTCATCTGAAGGCAGCTCAGCTACATCTGCATGACACAAGTGTAGAGGGCTCAACACCTAAGGCCAGCACAATTTCTGCCAAGTTTCAATTAATTTACATTATCAAAAAACAGCAGCAAACCCAACAGGGAGCTTGGAGCCTCTCCTCAGCCTTTATCTCCTACACCCCAAATCCTGGATTGAAGAGTTTTCACTTTCTTTTCAGCAATAATGGACAAAATACACAGCTTGCTGAAATAGCAGCATCCCTGCTCTGCTGCTAGCTCCACACCATCAATCAGCAGGTACTGGAAAAACAAAGATCCAGTTAGACAGTAATTTTATCAGGGGGTCAGATACCTGCTAGCTCATTGCAAGGGCCATCTTCCTGTCAAAACACATTGAGCTCTTGAGCTTCCCTATTAAAATTTTTATGCCAAAGCCCATTTTGAACAACACTGCCTAGACCCAATGGGAATGGTTAGGATCCAGAAGCCAGGGACAAAGACTTCAGACTAACAATTGCCCAAGGATAATTCTGTCACAATCAAGTCAAAATTACCTAACTGGATGCCCCTGTTTTCATAGCAGTTGTCACACACACGCACTGGTGCTGGTCCCCAGCCTCGCTCAGGCACTGGACGGGTCTTAGAAGAACAGCCATCACAGAAGCCCTCTCCACAGGCCCGGCAGTGATGTTTAGTGTCGTTATCTTTAAAAGGAGCGTTGCACTTATTACAAGTCTAATCAGAACAAAATATAGAGAAAAACCTGTTAGTCTGATCTTCCTTATTAGAAAAACAGCAGAATCTCAAAATGGCAAGATTGGACTGAAATTGTGAAAAATATAGCTACACCCAAGACTTGGAAGCTAACAGCCCAAAAATTTTATCCCAGGGAAATGATTCAGACAGGTACAGTGGTTAGGCCAATAGACAGCTATAACCCCTTCCTTCAAAATCACAAATAATTACAACCACATCATGAAGAGTTGAATGGCATTTGATCTTTGGGGGGTAAGAATTCAGAAGGCAGTTTTTGTTGAAAAAGTATGTGTTTCCTGCAAAACACAGGGAATCCTTTTCTAGTTAAATTGTTGGGGCCAGCTTTCTGCATCTGGTATGAAACCAGAATTTAATCTCCACACCTATAAAACCAGTACTATCAACTGCAGTAGCCAGATTCAAGATGTTGATTCTTTGCTTTGAAGAGTAAATTCATGCAAGCCAGGATTTTCTGCAATACTGCTGGGAGAAGAGCTCAACAGAAAGTAGGGAGAAACAGTCTCAGGCTTGCTGCAATAAAACAAACAGCATCTGGACTCTGCAAAATACCAAATTACTGAAAGGGTGAGGAAAAGGGATTTTAGCTATGCAAAAATTTTCTCTACAGCAGCTGCTATTTACCAGGATCTGAGAGTTGGGTCTCCAGTAAGCTGGGGCAATCTGGTCTGTCAACCAGGAAGTCACAGCTTTTGTGGGTCCCAGGCTAAGTTCAGATACTGATTGTGCCATGAAATTCATGCCATCCAACAAACGCTGGGCTGCATTGTTGTTGTCTTTCAGAAATCCGTCAGTCTGTAATGAAATTGGTATTAATTTGAAAATAAAACCAGGGAAAACTCATTCTTTCAGATACAGATGGCTCTGCAACCCACTGCTCCTGTTAAACTGGAAGGCAAACAGGAGAAAAAATTCACCAGCCCTGCTTTGAAACACAGGGGTAGGTTTTACTGGTGTAAGATTCACACAACACATGAAGTGTTCATAAACTGACAAATTAGCTATTTCAAGACAGCCAAAAGATGACAGAAGACTTTTGAGGAGGAGGAACCAGCTGTAATGAAAGCCAACCCATTTTCTCCATCAATGTCCTGAAGAATCATCGTTAACATATGCATGACTGCACACATACACAAAGACTATCCAGTAATCAGACCTACCCCTGGCCAGACATGCTCAATTTCTGTTCTCACTACAGTGTTCACAGGATCTTGATTGCCAAACCAGTACTGTCGGCTGCGGTACACCACCCCACAGTTGGGGCACTCAATCACGTACCTGCAGAAGGAAAAGAGGGGTTACCTCAGTGAGATACAGGAAGTCCAGTACACCAGGCAGCATAGAGACAACAGAGCAGAGAGCTCTTAGCTGCAGAACTCACCCTGACCAAGCATACTTGGCAAGGCCCAGCCAAGGGGAGTCAGTGGAAGCAGAAGTTTTTGGCACCACGCTGACTTCCATCCCTCGTTCATAACAGGCCTACAACATAATGGATCGATAAAAACTTCACTCTTGGGACTCACAGGCTCCAGGTCTTACAGATGTTTGGCCATATAAAGCATATAATCAGCATACAGTGGTCTCCACAGCACTAATCAGAACTGATTTAAAAGCAAAACTAAACCAAACCCACTACCAATAATGACATCAAGAAAATACTCCTACAATAAAAACCATGATAGTGGCTGAAACTTCTACTGTCTCCCACACACATCCTTCAGAAAAATTGGCTAATACCAAGCAATGGGCATAAGCAAATAACTAGAATCACATCACATACATAGAAGGTCAACATCCCGTAGGTTGAGAGCAGCTGGATTCACTATTTAGCTAGCAAATGACACAGCACACAGAGGTGATGACCTCTCCAAGCAAAAATACAAGTTCAGTGGAGATCAGTTTTTCTTGTAAAGGCCATAAGCACCTCTCCCATTTGAAAAAATGCAAGAAAACAGGCACATGCCTATGATACTCCTCATTTACTGGACCATTCTTTCCTTCTCCATTCTCCAGACCTTATCCTTGCATCACTACTCACCTTGCAAGTATAGACTCTGTTATCATACTGGTGAGAATATCTGCACCGACTTTTGGATTCATGAGGGACTCCTTCCTTTGCATGGTTCATGCTCTTCTTGCAGCCACACCTGAATATGCAAAAGCAAACCATGCGCTGATGCTGTTAGATACTGGACAGATGTCACCAAGAGGTCATGTTACTATCTTGCATTTGTATAGACGTCTTAACCCCAAGGCATTTTCACAACTGTTCATACAGCAATGACATCACTGAAAGACAGGCTCTTTGGAAGGAGATGGAACAACTGTTTCCCAGTAAAAGCAGCACTACACAACTCTTCAGTGCAGGAAATGACCACTGTAGCCAATTTGAGTTTCACAGAGAATTTTAGGAAAGGACTAACCAAGTTTGGAAATCAACCAGGACAGAGTTAACACTGCAGCCTTTGCAAGGAGCTGCTAGAAATTCTCTAACGAGCATAGAAAAGAAAGAAAATAGCACTGTATCACATCTGAGAGAAAATGTTTCTAGAAGCATAGCCATAACACCATGCTGCTATAGTACCTCACAGACTCAGAGCACTGACTGCCATATATATACTGCCCAATCTTTGGGGTCTTCCCAGAGAGCTACAAGCCAAGCTCCAATCAAACCTGGAGCTCCACTCAGATCTAGACACTGAACATAGCCCAGGTCCATGATGTGTGCTTTAGGATTATTATACTGTTTAGGCAATAAAAATGGCAGGAAAAATAATGATAGGAAATTTCAGGGTATTTTTTTAGACATACTTTCTTCCTGTCCTATGTGCAGTGGGGAAAAGATATGGGCAGAACAGGTTTGTAGCCATACAGAAGAAAAGAGTAGGCAAAGACCATGCATCCAGCAGGGATACAGCAATAACAGTTGTCCAGTTCACACAAGTGGAATTTCAAGTTAATTCTGCCTGGAAGTACTCGCTGATGATAAGCGATGTCAGGTGTTAAGATATCATGGAAACTTTACATTCTGTGGCTGCAGGCCAGGACAGCACTATCTTTGAGAAGGATGAGGGTACATTTCTCATCTACTTACCCACAGCTGAGGCACACAGAGGAGCATGTGAAATACTCATCTGGAAAGAAAGAGCTGTGAGCCATCTGGTCATCAGGGATCTCCCCACTGAATCGGTCACTTAGAGCCTGTCGAACAGAAAAGAGTGAAGTGGTAACTGACTGAAAGCAACGCAGACACTTTCTGAAAGCTTTTCCAAGCAAAAGCATGGGTTCCTCCACCAGAGGGAGAGGCAGAGACAGCATGCTTACTAACATGGAACCACGGCAAGGATTAGAAATCATGCAAGACAACAATCTTGCACTTGTAAGAAAGTGACCTGAATGCTTGTACAATATTTACTTTTCTCCTCCTGCCCCCTACTTTGAATTTTATAGTAGAAACAGATAATGGAAAATTGCATCCACCTCTGTGCATGCAACCCATGCCCAAAATAGCAGGTGCTAAAAAGGCTTTGCATTCTGGAAACCTCTAGAATAAAACCCACAGACCCATTTCTTACAGTAAAAGAGGACATATGCTTTGCTCCTCAGAGCTGCCCTGAGCTTTCTTCTGGCGTCTTGAACACTTGCTCTTTTCTGGCTGCCTTTCTTTCCCTTCCTTCCTCTCCCCTCCCAGGGAGTGTGTGTGGGGTGGCATCTCTGCTGCCGAACAAGGGTTGACTGCACATACACACAGATGTGCATATGTCTCTTATCACAGCTGCCCTCGGATAAGATCTCTAAGTAGACATCTGATCTCACAAAATTTCAAGGAAATGAGCTTTAAGATCTCTTTCAAGCTTGACTGATGCTGGTTAATGGGTTCAAAAGTTAAAGAAGGTGAACATAGATCAGTAGCAAACCTTGTGTCTTCAGTAAGGGAAGCAAAAAAGTTAATGTGTAATCAGTAGTGATGCGAACACAGCAACCACTTTACAGGACATAGTTTAAGTATACTAGCAACTGTATCTGAAATTGGATTACCTGACTGGCAGGCTTGAGAGCTAGGCCCCTGCAAACCTCATGAAGTTCAACAAGGCCAAGTGCAAGGTCCCGCCCCTGTGTTGGGACAATCCCAAGCACAAACACAGGCTGGGCAGAGAATGGCTTGAGAGCACTCCTGAAGAGGAGGACTTGGGGGTGCCGTTGGATGAGAAGCATAACATAACCCAGCAATGTGTGCTCACAGCCCAGAAAGCCAATCTTATGCTGGGCTGCATCAAAAGACATGTGCCCAGCAGGTCAAGGGAGGTGATCCTGCCTCTCTCTTTCTCTCATGAGACCCACCCCCCGCCCCAGAAGTCCTGTGTTCAGCTCTGGGATCTCCAACACAAGATGGATGAGAACCTGTTGGAGCAAGTCCAGAGGAGGCCACAAAGATGCTCAGAGGGCTGGAGCATCTCTGCTCTGGAGACAGGCTGAGAAAGCCGAAGCCTGTTCAGCCTGGAAAAGAAAAGGCTCCAGGGAGACCTTAGAGCCCCTTCTGGTGCCTAAAGGGGCTGACAATAAATCTGGAGAAGGACTTTTTACAAGGTTAAGTAGCAGGAGGACAAGGGGAAATGGCTTTAAGTTGACAGATGGAAGAGGTAGATTAGACGTTAGAAAGAAATTTTTCCCTGTGAGGTTGCTGAAGCGCTGTCACAGGGTGCCCAGAGAAGCTGTGGCTGCCCCATGCCTGGCAGTGTTCAAGGCCAGGTTGGATGGGGCTTGGCGCAGCCTGGTCCAGTGGAAGGTGTCCCTGTCTGTGGCAGGGGTTTGGAACTGAATGATCTTTAAGGTCCCTCTCAACCCAAACCATTCTATGATTCTGAAATTATTGCAATAAAGTCCTAGAACTTATAACCGGAATTAACCACTCCGGCTGTTTTCCTCTTGCTGCCTATCTGCTTCCTAATGCAAGAACTGTGTACATCCACCTGATACTTCCCTCTGTGCTTCAGCTACCCCAATTACAGAGCAGCTGGAATTATCTGTTCCAACAGCTGTGACTAACATCAGAGAAGACTGCTAACACCACCTCCTTCTGAAGATATGCCCCAGCTCTGCCCACCCCTCCCTGATGGGAGCTGTGCTCTTTGGGCCTATGAAAACACAATGCTAATCAGGTAGTGGTAGCAATGTGTGAAAACTTGTAGGACAGACTGCAGATTTTAAGACCCGAAAAACCTTCTGACATCCTAGCAAGGTGAATGTTCTAAGAAAATCACCAGCTGCTCTCTCCAATTCCTTCTCATTGGCCTTCTGATCTGATGCTGCACCTCTGAAATGATACATCTTTGGCTTGATCCCACCTTGTTTCCTAGCTACCAACACATCTCCTTCCTCTTTTTTTGTCTCCTGGTCTTTGGGTTACACCACCTTCAGGGCCAGGTTTTGCCAACCATTAACTCCCTCCAAGTCTTTGGCATTCCTTTCCCTTGGGCTGAGGTCATTCTTAGGAATTTCACCAGTAACTCCTTCTGGGCCTCCTCTTTGTAAATCACTGTCATTAAATGCTTGTCACTCAGTCATCAGTTATTTTTTCCTTCCCAGTCACTTTCTTCCTGTTTCAATTTTTTGATTTTGCTCTTCAGAGTCTCTGCTAAGGTGTTTGTTTTAAAATAAAATAACTACCCAGCCCACATGGCTGTTACTCAAAATCATCATCTTCATGGAGGGCAGCTTTATCTCAAGACGTTTGCAAGTCTGCTTCTCTGGTTCACATGTTCTACCTCTATGAGCTACAACTGACGGTCAGCAACAGTGATACAAATGAAGATTTTGACAAACTCTTCTCCACTTACTTTTAGTGCCTTGTAGATAACCCCAGGCTGTCTAGGTGATCGAGTGGTATTGTTCTCCAGCTGCTGCTCCACAGCTCGCCTAAGTCCAGAGAAATCTGTTGGAGGATTGTATGTCCTTGTTCCCTTGTAGTGGATTGAGCTGAAAGCCTCAGGAAAACAGCTTAGCTTCCGAAACCGATCCTGAATGAGCTTCTCAGGAACCTCAGACGGATGATCTACATGTAAGAGTATCAGTGAGTATATAAACAACTGATTGTCTAAAATAATACTTAAATTGCACAGTGCTTTCAATATGCAACACAATGCTAATTTTCCTAATTAAACCTTCTAGTACATCTGGAATGCAGTTGTTACATTTTACATGAAGGAAAAGAAACAGTTTCCAAAAGCAATTTGTTTCACAGCCTTAGATTGTAAGTTCCACAAAGTAAAACCAAAAATTTCAAAGTTTGGATACACAGATACCCAGAATAAGAAGCAATTTATGACATAAGGAAACTCCATTTCAGCACACTTCTTAGCTCTTCTCACCAGACCACAATCTGGTATAACTAGTCCTGATAAGTGGAGGACATGAACCTTAGATGGGCTGCTTATTCTCCATGCTAACCCTGTACAAGGAAGACTGCGCATCTATCAACCCTTTGTACATAGCGAAGCACATCAGGTCACTTCACTTCAGTGACCTGATGTGACCAGTGAAGAACTGGTCATATCCAGTCAGACTCCATAGAGCTGACCACATTCCTCTGCTTGCTTCCAAGTACCTGCTGTACATTTCAGAATAAGGCAGGCCCCTTCATCCCTGCCCTAAAACTATAAAGCACACATCCAATTGTTCATCAAGATGGATAGTTCCAACTTGCTGCAAACCCAGGTTTCTTTCCTATTCCTACTGTGATCAGAAGTGATCATAAAAATGTATTTTTTTACCAGTCTGACTTTGCACACAACTATCATTATCATCTGACTTGCTGAAACAGCAAATTTCAACTCCTATATGAAACTCCACATTGCTCATCAGCAAACTGATATGTAAGAAAAGGAACCACCTTGGCAGGTCAGTTAAAAGTAATTAAGAAGTCAGTCTAACAATAACCAAAAAGAACAAGTTCTTCTATTAGCTCAAGATTTCACTGGTAAGAGAAGCCAAAATGAGAGTGTGGGCCAGCAAGGAGCTACTATGGTACTTATTACACAGCAGAAGACTCACAGATGTTCACTGAGAGCAGGACTGAGCCTCAGCCACTGCAGGCCAATTTAGTAGGGCTTTTGCTCATCAAAGCATCAGAAATGGGCAGAATGAAAAAACGTTTCATCATGCCTTTTGAAAAATGGAAAAATGGGGCCAGGAAAAGAAATTCAGGTCCCTGTATAGACAAAACTGAATTGTGCTGTGAGTTGCTCAGGTCAGTGCATTTCAGAACTCAGACATACAAATAAAATACATAATTTAAGTATGCAAAACCCAATATGCAGGAGCCAAGTAAAAACTACTAGTGAAGAACACTGAAAGCAAGAGGAATAATATTGTGCCAGGCCTGCAACTTTGGCCATATCAGATACTCATACAGAGAAAAGTGGTGTTGAGCCACCAGCTCTGTGCCACAACTTCACTCCCAACTTCACATAAGCCTCAGAACAAGGCTGGTTCGCAGAATTTAAGAGAATGAAAGCACCGTAAGTATCATCAATTTCATTATTCTTGCTCATCCTAGTTTCTATATAGAGTTTTATTTTAGTTTTCTTGCAACAGGATACTCCATATCCCAGCCAAAATCCCAGGGTATCTCAAGTTTTCACCTTCATCTGCCATACCACCCATACTCATAATCCTGTTGGATGACCTCTCCCATGGCTGGCACAACTCCCATCATCACTAGTCAGTGCCGATGTCCACCTGGCTAAGATCATTATTCTAGCTCATCTGGGGTACTCAGACCACCATCAGGGAATGCTCTGCTATTTTCATAGCCTGGCTCCCAACTAGAACAAGTGAAAGCAAAACCCAAACCACATCTTTTACACAGTACTAAAGAACACTGAGTATTTAATGCAACCTGACAATTTATAGATAGTATTTAGCACACTGTAATTCTGCCTACTCACCAGAGCCCAGCAGCTTGGTGTACACAGTCTCATGAAAGATGATGACACCTGGACCCAAAGTTGACAGAGGAACATCGAGGCCACAGCGGGCTGTGGTAGCTTTTAGCTCCTTGGTGAAATGTTTTAAATAAGCCTCCGAGGCATCACCAAGGAATTTGAAGAGATCATTGTGGAGCCTGTCAGCACGAGTACGGTAGATGATGAGGTCAGAGATCGCCAAGACCTTCAGCAGGAGTCGTGTTCTCTGGCTCAGGTTCACAGTGGCCCCCAGGAGGCCCTCTGTATCAATTACCACCACTTTGCAGACAGGGTCATAGGCTGCCCAGACTCCAACTGTGCAAGACTCTTGGGCTGGAGACGTCTTGAAGACTTCCCGGCCATAGAAGAAAGTGTGGTTAAGGGTGTGAGACTTGCCATCCCCTGTGTTCCCAAAGATGGACACTACCTTTAGATGCTGGTCAGGACTGCAGTCCAGTTTCTTAATAAAGTCTTCTTCATTCCTTACCTTCCAAAAATAAATTAAAAAAAAAGAAAAAAAAAAATTATAACTATGCAACTGGAGCAGACAAAACTGAAAACAGCTTGTTTCAGGATTCGTAAGATGAATGGGAGTGATTAATTCCTGTTCAGAATTCATCATAAGTTTTTGAAGCACCAAGACGTTCAAAGCAAAATTCTAGAAAGCAGTTTCATAATGCACACATCAATGGGACTTAAGCTATTCCATCATGTGGCTTTTTTGGAAGCCATGCCTCACCCATCTAGTGAAACCTTCTGTACCTACCTCACCTCATTCCCTGAGGCAATTGTTTCAGAGAAGGGAGCACAACCCTACTTCCAAGTCTGCCAGAACAGCTACTTGGAGCATAGCAGACACTCTCAGCAGAACTGCTCTCCTGGCAAGCAAAACAGAGGAGTGCTTTTGTCACCTTAGGTTCCCTCATCCACAGAGACTAAGAGTCTACCTCGATTTAGGGAGAGGAAGCTCCTCCATACAGCTGTGCTGCACCTACCCAAAGCCAGGGGCTCCCAGACAAAATCTGTCCTGCTCCCACTGCTCTCCAGCTGACAGATCCTTTAGCTGGAACGAGGGGCAGAGAATTAAAAAGCAAAGTTGTGCACTGGAGCCAAGTGGTTGGAGCTGGACAAACTGGCTTTTACAGAAGTGCCACAACTGCCCCATTTCATAACTTACGATATTGTGCTTTCATTAAACATAAAATGAAATGAAAATACAAAATACACACACGCAAACCCAAAAGAAAGTAGACAGCTTTCAGCAGGTAACTTCTCTTTGGCTCCAAAGAGATTGAGTGACAAGTATCATGCTACTTAGGTTAGAGAACAGGGCATTTTCTGTTCAGATACTAGAGCAAGAGGGAACAGAGAAACAAGCAATGAAACAGGTTAAGGCTCTGTACAAGAGCCTGCCCTTGGCTTTCAAAGGTTTCATGCTCCTGGCTATGGTTATCACTTGCTTCTTCTAACATGTTAAGTGACAGAAGAAAAGGACAGAGGTACTTTTCAAGAAAGATTACATTCACTCCTCCATCATGATTCCCTCCACAAGGAATCCCCATCAGCAAAGTAGCATGGCTTTCACCCCCTCTCAACTTGTGGAAGCTCCTTAGCTCTTTCCCCTCCACAAGTACAGTTAGAAGGTCTCATGATACATGATCCACAGAAGACATGAGGTAATAAAAGGTTTCTTTGAACATGTTTATTCTTAGATCAGCAAATTAGTTTGCTCTGGCTGAATCTATCAGCAGCAGATAGACTTTGAAGGAAAATAAAAAACAGCCAGTGTGCCAAAAATAATAATAAAAAAAAAAAACAACCACCAAAACAAACCAGTTTGCCAGATTGTGGCTGGGAACAGCATTCAGAAAGAAAAACTGAGGATGTGGAGCTGCAGTAGCTTCTCACAGACTCAAAACATTCCAGGCAGCCTCATAGGGTGGAAGAAAACAGGAAACAAATCAAAATGCTATCAACAGGCTATTTTCTGTTGTCTGTGGGAGACCATCAAGATACACTCAAGTTACAGGTGCACAAGAAAGGGTCATTTTTTTTGGTAGCTGTGATTATAAGCTTATCATCAGAAGGTAGTTTAGATGACAGATAAAACTTCTTTTGGTGTCCCTGGAGATGTATCTGTGCATGAAAAGAAGTTCTTGGTTCATGGGACAGCTCCTAAAAGCATTCACAATTTGATAACATAATAATGTTATGTGTATGTAAGCAAAAAGGGATATGATAACTTCTCCAGATTGTTTTAACTCCCACCTTTCAAACTTCTTACCATAAGGGTGGCAGACACTCTTTGCTGGAATCAGTGGTTATGCACTCCCTGTACAGCACAAAGAAGTATTCAGCCTTCAAACAGCTGCTTAAGTATTGGCAGGTCAACTAAGAACTAAGGTCTTTTAGACAGCACTGGTTACTTTTCTGGTATTAGTTTCAGAGAGTTTGTGGAAGAGGCTGAGTCTTTAATGTCAGACACAAAGGACAACAGCGACAAATGTAGTTTTGCAATGCCTTCCCACCAATAAGAAACAACTTATACAAACTGTACTGCAGCTGAAATTGTCCCAGTCTGAGCTAATGCAAATGTCCACACCACCAGCATTCAATGTACTTTAACAACTGCTGGTGCCAGGGCAACTTACTGTGGGAAAAGGGCTGAATTGCTGAGCCAGACAGAAAAGTTGGTTCCAGATCAATAATCCAGATCACTTCAGCAGAGAAGTTACACTGAATATCAAATCAGACACCCAAAGCACTGAGCTACTGCCACCTTCTACAGCTCTAGGCTCCTTCAGACTTCCTTGCAGGACAGAACTCAGGTACAATTCAGACAAGAAAGTTGCCCAGGAGCACAAGAATGTTCTGAAGTCCAGCTAATCCAATGGTGTGCCTTACAGGACTCAGTGACAAATAAGAAAGAACTTAGACATGAAACAAGTAACATTTTCTAGCATGCTTTACCAGCTCTTAGGAGTCAAATGTCAAAGGACTTCCCATGCAGTTGTTGCACATAGATGTTCATGTCAGGTAGAGAACATCAGTAGATCTATCCTCTGGGACTCTAAGCCCTTTGTGAATCTAGACATAGTTTTGGATCCTGCAACATCCTATTGCAATAAATTCCATATGGGGAGGAGGGAAGAAACAAAAATCTCCAAACCAATACAACTGGAAAAAAAACCACCCTTTTGTTAAATACACTCATATGCCATTAGATATTCCTTGCTCTCATGCACTTGTCTTCTTTAATCACTGCTTAGCACGAGCACAATACTCTCAAAGGACCACTCACTCACAACCATCCCTATATCAAGAATTAAATTTATTTCCCTTGAGCAAGTTCCTTTAAGACATTTAAAGTCAGCATGTGTGTAGTAAGTGTCAAAGTACTAATTCCCATTGGGCTCAAGTCCCACTTCTCTGTTTTGCTTCTCTTCATGCAAAAAAAAAAAAAATGCAGGGTACCACCTTCTGCTGCATGTGCGAAGGATTCATGCTTCCATAGCCGTTTCTACTCCCATGCTGCCCAAGACCTCCACATCTCTGACATGAACAGTAGAGGGTAAATATGAAACTTTCCTTAAATTGCACAGCAATGTTAATTAAGAATGAAAACTTTGTATGTCTAACCTAAGACAAGAGGGAAATCTCTCCAGACCCTTCTTTATTTTAACATTTCTAGTATCAGAGACTTATTTACACTTTTATTACAGCTCTTAGAAGATTTTCTTCTAGAAAGAATAGCTTTTACTCCATCATAGGTTAGAATCCTGGTTAGCCTTCTTTTATAGTTTTAACTACAATTCCGTTAGCAACTGTCATCCAGTCCCACCAATGCAGTCACTCCATCCAAGCTGAGCTGAGTTGAAGATAAAGGTCTTCAGCAAGAAACCAAGGAAATTTACAGCTAAAGTCCTCTCTAAGGAGGACACAAAAACTCATACCATACTGCCATTTAAACCTGAATCCTCCCTGTCACCCATACTTGGAAATCTATTATATCTAACATAACAAGTTTCCTAGATCCAAGACGCAATAAATGTAGAATTGTTTAGGAAAAGACAAGAAACAAGAACTGCCAAAATGACATTTCTGCCTATGAATTTCTTGGAAACAGTATTATTAAAACAATAACATGTTAAAAGCTTAGAAACAAAACCCATAACATAGAACTAAGTTTCCAATGACCTGTACTCATCTGTCATTAAATCTGCCTCCAGGCAAAAACAAACACACTAAGAGAATGAGACATTTTTACCACAGCTTTCTCCTTTTAAACCTCTTTATAAATCCTCTAGGCTTGCTGATATTCATGGAAGCGATGCACAAAGTCAGCGCTGTGCCATGACGACACAATAGCTCAAAACAAAAAATCAAGCGTGCTTGGCATAGTAGTCAGAGTGCCTTCATTAGCTAGTCTTACACTGTCATTTTGACTTACATTGGTACTTTTGTTGTTGCATTTTGAAGTCTTACCCTTTGCTTGCTTTGATTTTAACAGAGTATTTTAGCAATTAAAATACATTTTCTGCAATCAAGGAAGATGTCATCATATAAATAATTAAATTTGAGTCATTAGGCTTGTCTAACAACCAGCACACAACAATACCTTTTGATACACAACCACTAAATTAATAGAGGATATAAATTTCACACATTTCTCAATGAATGGAAAAACAAACCATAAGGTTCATAACAGCATATCCAAATATATACCAGCATAAAATTGTGAACAGCTGAAACAAATCAGCCTTCAAGTATAAGTGGTCAAAACAATCAAGTGGAGGTGGGGGAATTTCCTTAAAGCATTACTTAACATTGCCAATACAAGAAATTCTGCTCTCCATTCAGAAAACAAGAATTCAAACTAACACCTGAGATAAGAGGGAGAAATGACAAAGAAAGCTAAAAAAACATCTGCAACTTTGCAAATAACCATGAACTTCTAAAACATATAACTGAGATCATTTTAGGTAATTGATCTCAAGGACAGAGATATCTCAAAGAATCATATCAAACATTAAACCTGGAAACAGATTTGTGAGACATGCCCACCTCAACATACACCAGTTCTTTATGATATATCTTCTAAATTTTGGCAGTTGTGTTTTAATTCTTAAAAAATTAGTTCCTATCCTAAATTCTATAAAACTGAGTTCCTATCTCCAGATCACTCCAGAGTTAGATTCACACAGAAGTCTTACTGGTGCAGGCCTAAAGCCCCAGGTCCTACCATTAGGTCATTAGTCAGAATTTCAATGTACACTGAAAACAAACAAGAGAGAAACCTATAAAGCAGATTTCTTCCTCTAACTATAGCCTGTAAGACAAATTTGAGAACAACCTACACCACAGTACAGTGGTGCCACCAAAATTCACATCTCTGCAGAGCTCTTCACAATCACTCCCAGAAAAGCAGTGCATGAGCACAAGTGTAGCTGGCTTAAGCCAGCAACTCAAGTTCAATAGGCTACTAAA